CGAAACATTTTTCTCTATCCCTACTAGTTTTCGAGATATTTGACTGGATCACTTCAGATGGTCCACCCTGTATAGCCGAAACGTATGGAACTATTGTAATAATTTTTCGGAATTTTTGTAAACCTAAATTATTAAAAGTTTTAGAATTATTATAATAGAATCTTGCGCATTGTTTACCGCGCCGACTTCAAATCGCCCCTTGATTAGTACGAATTTTATTAATTATGTCGCTTATTCATGCTCGTAATAATATGATCTTTTCATTATTATCATTTTGATTAATTAAATTTGTCATCTAACGTACCTAAGAGATGATAATTAGATTCCTTTTCGTATTTGAAAGTTAGACGGCCATACGACACATGATTCAAGTTCTTCAACCACTCAAAGAACGAAACTGTGACACCACCAGCGTTAATGTACAAATCCGGGATTACAAGGATATTCCTATCGACCAGAATCTTATCTGCAGCAGGAGTAGTCGGTCCATTAGCAGCCTCTGCAATAATCTTTGCCTTCAAAAATATAATTTAATTATCATCTTTTGATTACCGTCTAAGGTTATTTAAAATTTCAGGTTAATTATAATATTGTCATCCCATCAAGTTAATGTAATAAATCATAGATCAACTCAGTTATTCTCATCAATCATTTTTAAAATAATATGTAAAATATATATGAAATAAAAACACTTCCAAGAAATTAATTAAAAATCATTAAATAATTTTAATGTTTGGTAATTCAATTGAGTAAAAAGATATTCAATATAAATACAATGTTATTCAATATAACGTCTATCTTCAAATCGATGACAGCTGATATATACCGATAATATACTGACTATAAACTATAGAAAGTTACGAAAAATCTCAAAAGGCCAACAAATCAAATATCGCTAATACTAACGAAAGATGGTAAATGGGCAAGAGATAATAAGGAAAAAGCAAAAATATATATTTGCAGAATATTTGGAAGGTATCTTCAGTCCAAATGACGTGGAAGGGAAAGTAAACGATGAAAGACACAAGAGAGAGCAAATACGAAGGATTGAGAGAATCGAAGAGGAAGAAATAAAATGGTCACGCCTAAAAAAATGGCTAGAATAATTAAAATAAATATTAAACCTAAAAAAAAAAACACCTGGCTTTGATCACAGGAGAAGTACTCAAACAACTTCCTCGAAAAAAGAATAGTTAAATTCACGTATCTTATTAATGCTTCGTATAGATTAAAATATGTTGCCAAGCTGTAAAAAATAGCAGAGGCAATAATGATTCTCAAATCGGATAAATCATCCAATGAAATTAAGTCACATAAACCTATTTTATTGTTGTCAATAATATCAAAAGTTTTTGAGAAACTAATACTTAATCGAATAAAACTACTAATTGATAACTCGGGAATTATATCTGAGTATCAGTTTAGTTTTCGCGAAGGACACTCGACAATTGATCAAGTGCACAGAATAACCAATACTATAAAAAAAAAATCTGTTGAAAAGTCTTCTTAGATGTAGCTCAAGCATTTGACAAGGTCTGGCACAAAGGACTTCTGCTTAAACTTAGAAATGTTTTTCCAACCCAATATTACTCCCTACTTGAATCATATATAAAGGAAAGATACTTTAGAATTAAACAAGATGAAGCTTATTCGGAACTGAAAGAAATAAGAGTTGGAGTACCGCAGGGAAGTGTACTAGGTCCGGTGCTGTACTTGCTCTATACTAGGAATGTCCCCAAAGTAAAAAATACGGTTGTTACCACATTCGCAGATGACACAACCATCTTGTCAGCAGGCAATAATATTGAAGAAGAGGCTACAAATAAACTACAAGGATCAATAAACAAGATCAGTAACTGGACAAAGTGGTGGCAAATCAAATTAAATGAAAATAAATCTATCCGTGTAAACTTTACTAATAGAAAAATAAAGCAATTACCAATTAAATTAAATAAGATCAAAACCCTCATGCCAATATGGCAAAATATCTGGGGATGAATCTTGACGCCAAACTGCGTTGGAAAGAACATATTAAGAAGAAAGTAGAAGAACTTAGAACTAAATACAAAAAGATGTATTGGCTAATAGGAAGAAATTCACAATAAACTACTATATAAGCAGATACTGAAACCAATTTGGATATGGTATTCAACTGGGATTGCACTAACCGAATAATTTAAAAAGAATCCAAACATTTCAAAACAAAGTTCTCAGAAATTGTTAGTGCCTCTTGGTACATACGCAACGACGACCTCCATAGAGATCTAGAAGTGGAAACAGCCGCTGTTGAGGCCAAAAGAATTGCACAAAAACATAAGAAAAGGCTACAGGACCATTCTAATATAGAAGCGCATCAGACCAAAGTGGACTAATTAAAAGACTCAAGAGGATGAAACCCTTCGAATTGATCGATACGTAGTAAAAGTTTATGAGTGTTAAATTATAAGATATTCTCAATGAAGAAATCTTAATACATGAAGTAGATTAGGTTAAAAAAGAAATGTTGTTAGTCTTGTAGACTAGGTACATTGTGTAAGTGCCTTGGCATTTAATTAAAAAAATATATCTATCTGATATACTTGTAGATGAAGAATTATGAAATCAGTATATTAACAATTATAATATATAGAAATAAATTTCAGGTGCAGTAATCTTTACCTGGATACGTCCCGCATTCTCTTTGGTAATTACTTTCTCTATGGCAGCGGGTATAAATATATCACACGGCTCATACATGAGATTTTCGCCTTTATATGGCTCGGCCCCAGGGAAACCAATGATAGTACCAGTTTCTATACGATACTCTTCCAATTCCTGAAACGCATAGAAATGTGTAAATATTAAACAAAAAAAGTTTTGTTATCAATTCTGTCATGTAATCGTACAGAAATTTGAAATAGTTATGCTGGAAACAACTGCCACGTACCTTTGGATCGATACCTTCTGGATTACAAATAGATCCATCGTGTTCGATCACTCCTATACATGCAGCGCCCGCGCGATGTAAATAACGCATAGAGTGCAAACCCACGTTACCAAAACCTTGAAGAATAAATGTTTTGCCTCCCCAGCCGGGCGTAGTACCTGCACATTATCATACTCTTTTATTTATGCGTTTATTTAAACCTTTTAAAATATTGACACACCATAATATGATATTAAATCACAGATACATTTAAAATCTTCTTATAATTAGTAAAATAATAGCGCTTTTAATACGACTTGAAGAAGATTATAATATTTATATAATTATACAATGTTATATTACATGTATTGTAATTTATAAATAACTAATTCAATATAATACGAAGACGTAAGAAAAGCCATACCACTTAATTATACTATGAAATAAAATTTGACCCTTTTTTTGCTACATAAGTGTAAATAGTTATTTTATAGACGTTGGGCGGCTTTACCAATCACACAGGTAACCCAGCGCACCGACGCCTACTAGCTCGATACACCATGGTGAAAACGACTGATATAGTGTGCTCATTTTAGGCAAACCACGTCCCTTTTGCGAGTCGAAATACCATTCAGAACCCAAACCTGCCAACTGCGAAGAAATAAATGATGTTGCTACGATTGATATCTTTATCAAATCCCGCTATGTATCCTTTCCTCTCTTCGTTTCAAAGCGACATCAAACAAGTGTCAAACATGATTTCAAGAGTTTATTAGAATACGTATTACAAAATTATTCAAAATGAATTCCTATTGGAATTATTCAATTATTCCTTAGATTTCTATTGCGTTTTCTAGAAAAAACGGAATAATTTCGTAGGTGCCCTGAAGATTCCGCTGAGCTATACGTTGGTATAAATATTATTGATACAAATTGTACTTATTTATTTATTTATATTTATACATTGATTTGTTCATTTATCCGGAAAAAAAAGTTTTATATATAATTGTACAATATACAGGGTGTCCCGAATTTAAATGACTTAAACTTCGGGAACGTGTGGAGGATCAATAAACTAAGAAAAAAAGTCTTAGAGATATGCTCGGTTTTGCTCCGTTTTGGAGAAAATCACAAAAAAGACAAAACGTAGTTTTGTACTTTTTCGTACTTTCTTATTACTTATTCACGTTGTATTTATTCACTTACTTAATGTAAATATTGTTCAAAATGTTGACCTCTTGCAGCAATGCAAGCATTGCATCTAGTACAAACAGCTCGTGTTGCAGCCAAATAAGAACTAATCGAGCTTGACTAGATAGACATTATCCACGGCGATGGATTGGACGTGGAGGAGTAATACCTTAGCCACCCCGATCACCTGATCTGACACCATTGGACTTCTTTATGTGGGGGATCCTGAAACAGGAAGTTTATTCGTCGCCAGTCAACTCAAGAGAACAATTGAGAAATCGAATCGAGGCTGCAGTGCACCAAATATCGTTAGATCAGTGTTTGGCTGCAACACGAGCTGTTTGTATTAGATGCAATGCTTGCATTGCTGCAAGAGAGTCAACATTTTGAACAATATTTACATTAAGCAAGTGAATGATGTCACGAGTGCAATTGCACAAGCTCCAAAATGTTAATATTAAGAACGTATTAAGTGTACATATTACGAAATATTATTGTATATTTTAAAAACATATCGAAAAGAAAAGAAGAAGCGCAAGGCCGAAATTACGAAAGCGATTAATAGAACTCGGCCGTTGCATCCTTGATCGATAATCAGAACGCTGACGAGGAAGCGCTGATTCGGCAAGGACGGCCGAGGAGAGCACGGGATAAAAAGACAAGATGCGAAGCGGACGTGGGTCATTTGTAAAGTCATAATCGCGTCACGTTATTCGGTCCGTTAAGTAAGTGGTTTATCGTAATTGTAAAAACCCTTACGATTAAAATAGTGTAAAGATGATCACGAATTCAACTCAGTGTTTGAGTGAGAAATTTCTTTATTAAAAGCAGTTTAAAGAAAGTGCATAGTGTTCTTATTGTTTAACCGCCTGAAGTCGTCCCCGCTGGATACTGAACCCTCATACCGTGCACAGCGATACAACAATAAATACAACGTGAATAAGTAATGAAAAAGTACAAAAATGACAACTACATTTTGTCCTTTTTGTGATTTTCTTCAAAACAAAGTAAAAACGAACATATCTCTCCAGAAGAGACTTTTTATCTTAGTTTAATATCACAAAATTCTGAATTTTTAGAATTTCTGTATCATTTTATAACTGTTTTGAAAATATCTTAAATTTTTTTATACGAATTTTATACAATATTTCAGAATTCATATATATATATGAAAAATTCTATGAAAAAGTATACAGATTTTAAGTATTTCTGAAATGTTTCAATTCCTATTATAGATCCTATTCACTCCAACGAATACGTTGAAGTGAATAGATGTCTATTAAGTTAGAATGTCAATATGAGCATAATCACATGAGACACATAGAGGATTTAGTGCTCTTTTTATGTTAATTTGTTGCTCTAATCCCGATTTTGTTGCTCTAGCCGTTTAGCAAGAAATCATTTTTCTGCTGGTTTTTAACAAAGTTAGAATGAACATTAAAAAAAATAATAAAAATAAAAAAATCACACTATAATTTAGTGTTAATTATGTGCTTTTAATATACCGTAATTTCAATTTCGGTGCACTACCCTTCACTCCTGAAACAACCCCAAAACGTCAAACAAGAGAAAAGTACTAAACATAGTAATGATACATAGAAAACATTCACATTACAATTTAGTATTAATTTTGTGCTTTTAACATACTCTAGTTTCAATTTCAGTGCGCTACCCTTCATGCCTGAAACAACCTCAAAACGTGTGTTGCACAAGATAAAAGTACTAAATTTAAAAATAATAGATATAAAAAAATACTCACGCTACAATTTAGTGCTAATTATTATGTGCTCGTAACATAAAGATAATTCATTTATCTGAATAAGCGCTGAGCATTAAGTTTTCTTAAACATTGCTTAAAGAATTTGTTGTTCGCATGTGTTTGGTACCAAAATGTAACACGTACTATCGAAATATGTCAATATCCGAATTTGTTGCTAACTCTGACAAATGAAAAATAATTAGTTTATTCCGGTCGCACGCACCATACACAAAAATTCTCTTAAACATTGTTTAAAGAATAAATAAGAAGGCTCTACCTGGTCAATTCAACACCGAGCTATAAAAGGTGTAAACAATAATTTTTTATTATTCTTTTATTCTTTTTTAACACATTCCCGGAACGTTTTGACTGTACTAAGTCCTCTTTAGCCGTGCTTTACGATTTAAATAAATCGTAAAAAACCCCAAAAACATTAATTTAATTAACATAAACATTAATGGGCTAATGAGAGTCACAACTGCGGTAATTCGTGCGAAATTGGAAACAATTTTATTATGTGTAATACTTATAAATCTATTAAGACGTTTCGGCTCCAATTCGGGCCATCCTCAGTAATTCGAAGAAATACATTTGTCATTATTCTTCCATGGCTGGACAAGAGAGGCAAATCCATCAATCCATCAATTTGTCTCAAGATTGAAAGGTCTCGTGGCAATGAATAGAAAGAAGTTCTAAATATGACTTGCCGTTAGTATGTATCAACTAAGAAAGAAAAGGAATTGGAAACACAACTCACCTGCACAGCCATGCAACTTCCGTAATAACATTAGAATATTTTATACAAAAATCAAAGTTGGTCGCAATGAAGCATTCTGACTGCGAGCAAGTCAACGAACGGTATTCGACTAAATGTGTGACAGTCAAGCAAGAAATATAACATAAACATATGCGCGAAAAGCTGCGTGGAAATTCAAAATACGTACAAAAAGATTGAAATCAAATATTTATAATTTGTTAACATTTATAATCTTTTGGTAGATAAAAGAAACAAATTTATGAATATAACAAAGAAACAAATAAAAAATTAATGTAAATTATTAAGAATGGACAAATACGAATGATGTAAGAAGTCGGTGTCAGATTGCAGATTTAAGCCATTTTTTTGTAACTTAATATGGAGCATTTCAGCAATGCGTCGTCTATAAAGCCATCTCTCCGAATCTACAACCTCGACATCATCCCAATCAAAATCATGGTTCAAATCTAAACGGTGTTCACTCAATACAGAAAGATTGCCCTCACTCCTTCGGATATCATTTTTATGTTCTTTGATCCTCGTTTTTAAAGTGCGTTTGGCCAACGTAAGACGCATCGCAATCTCTGCAGTTAATTTTATATATTACATTCTTTTTTTGTAAATTAGGCAGTCTTTCTATGGTCTGATGAAACAATTAAGTTTATTGAGGCTATAAAATGAAAATTTACATCTAAATCCCTCACAACCTTCCTAAATCTTTCATCAATTTTTTCGGTATATGGGATCGTGAACCATGTCCTAATTTCATTATCGTCTTTGTCCTTTTGAATCATAATGTCATTATTTTGCTTTAATGGCTTATTATGTAATAATGATTTTAGTCTTACATTAATTGTGTTGAAAATAAAATCCAACGGATAGTCATTCATTAATGTTTCAATAACAAAAAGTAAGTTCTTTTTAGGTACAGACAACAAGAATGCTCTATCTATCATCCCTATAACAGTGCCCTTTTTCTGTGAAAGAGGATGTTGTGAAAAAAAGTTAAGATATCTACGAGAAAAGGTAGGTTTATGGTACCAGTCGTATTCTAAAATATTATTATTATTAATTATAGTGATGTCCAAAAAATTGAGGGTCAAGCCACCTATCTCCATTGTGAATTGTAATCGAGGATGAAAGGAATTAAAAACTTTTAAGATCTCAGGAGTTTTTTCACAAGGAACTGCCAAAGCGATGTCATCAACATATCTGACGTATAAAGGAATGTGGAATTTAAGCATATTCAAAGCTTTCCTTTCCAAATCCTGCAATACGACATCAGCAATGACCGGAGACAATGGAGAACCCATCGGCATGCCAAATTTTTGTCTATAAATCACATTGTCAAAGCAAAAAAAGGCAGAGTTAAAAACCAGTCTTAACGCGATAAAAAATTTATTTTTGGGGATGTTAGAAATTTTAGAAATGGAAGGCCATCTATCAGAGATGCTGTCAAGTGCTAAATCAAT